GAGGAAAATCCCAGAAATGTAAATAAATTTCATCAATGTTTTTGCTTCGCCTCTGAAGTAACTATATCTTAAATACGACAACACGGTGCCGACCATCTCAGAAACCGCATTGCACAGTGGGAGGTGTGCAATGTGTGAACAGTAGGAGGCGAGCGATTCTTGAGTCAGCAGCGGGGCACGTGGTCGACCGTCTTGCTCACCACGCTCGCCTTCGCACTCGCCTTTGCTGCAGGGACAACCGCAGTGCAGCGCGACAGACGTTTACGGCTGTGTAAAACTTTTACTACTAAATGCCAATGCGCGCAGAAATTGAAAACAAACGAGAAGCTCTCAGCCATGAGAGAGATAACCATGGTTTTGTTAATACCCAGGAGGAAAATAAAAAAAATAAAAAATTAAAAAGTTTTGTTTTTGATTGAAAAATGCAAATATTTGATTGTGTGATTTCGCTTTTTGTCACATTGCACTTACTGACTAAATTCTCACATTAAGTGTGTCCCTGCTTACGACTCAAAAGTCATGCGACAGTAAGGTTCGAAGTACGAGGTCGTGCGGCATTAAAAGTTTACTATTCGTAACTTGCGTTATGGAACAGCAATTTTATTTAATACCTCTGGTATGTAGAGAGCTGTTCTACTTTGTACACCTGTTTATATCATACTATGTTACTTCAGTGTTTGTGAAGAATGTTGTTTTAAAGTACTTAGTTCATTGTAGTGTTATATGAGAGTATTTTATTTGCTCTTATTGAGGAGGGTGCATGATATGTTTTGTTCAGCAGAATTTTGGCTGCTGTAGGCCGTTTTAACCTTAATACCAAGCAAACGAATGGCCGGAGTAATTGGCGGGCGCATTACTTCGAGCAAGGTTTGAAAAGAGGATTAGAAAGGTTTTGGCAACAGACCGCTCATTTTGTTTCTCACTATACAGGCATGCACGTGCAATACTCGTCATACATCTATAGTAATAAAAAAAGTTCAACGACATGTAATTGATATCGATGCTACAAGAAGACAGTGTATGAATAGATACGAAATGTTTACAGGTTCTTCTTGAGGATTGCCGCAATCTCCTTGAAATGTTTAAAAAGATTTAAACAATACAAATATGTAAATAAATCATTTAAATAACATATTAGTACATGCGCTACGATCTTTATTTTGCGACTCTCGCTACGAGCAGATTGGTTCCTAATACATTCCGCTAGAGGTCAGTAGCCCTGCCGCACAACTGATATATGTTTGGCTCCTAATATGTTTTGCCAAGGGGCTTTACCGGTGCAGCAGAACTGGTACGTAATAAATTCGATAGAGGTCAGTAACAGAGCAAAAGTTGAACATTTTTAATCTATTACTAATGAATTGTAAAATAAAATGAAAGAAAATTATAGTTATTCATTAAAATTTGAACCAATTACATAAAAATAAAAATCTTCCGTTTCGTAGTTTATATAAATTGATGTTTTTCCTCTTTTGTAAGGATTGTATTTGATAAATGTCCCGGAAACACCGGGAAGTTTGCTAGTCTACTATAACAGCACAATGAGTATACTTTGTCTGAAGAATTACCTCAGTCTGTTCGTCCCATCATACGTGTCACGACATGATACCACAAAAGTTCATTTACAAAAAATGGATTACACGCGGTACGCCACAAATTAAAATTCAAATGTCGGATAAAAGCCCACAATTTGAATTTTAAACTCTGTAAACGTTTTAACAACAAGCAAATTTACCATCTAGTTGCCATCCACATTGTAATGGTATGTCGGAAAGATCCATTACGACCATATTACGATAACCAAAGTGCGTTTTGTAGATATAACATATACGATTGCTTCTATTACATCTTAGTGTGTGTAGGTGCCTCAATATAAATGCTACATTCGTTTAGGGGGGTATAAAGTCTACAATGATCATCTTAATCAATGAACTTGTGGTGTGAAATTTCGTATAACGAATTGGCTTAGATGTGACATAGGCACCAATTTATTAGGCAACTCAAAATGCGCTAGTGTTTGACGCTCATGTGAACAACTCTGCTCTTCAAGAAGAGCAAGCAGCAGTAACACTCGCCGACTGTGAAAGTTTTCCCGACATTTCTCATTCATTCGATGATGCAAAAAACGAAAATGTCATTTAAAACTCGAAGTTAGCTCTTAGATGTAGCCCTTATACGTTATGAGTAAAGTATACGACAATTTAACTCCGGGAGATTGTGTTGGCATACCTAGCAAAGCAGTGATGGGTTTTGGATAATTTGCATTAGTTTGTGAAGTTTCATGGCTTCATAGCATGCTCAGAAGGGACGAGCTGTAGAATACCACAACATCCCATCAGCCATTGGACCATATGGAGACGGTCTACTAGTACCACTCCTTCCCGAAAAGAACCCTCAACAGTCACATGTAGACCGTGGAAAAGAGAAATCGCCTGATTCTTTATCTCCACTAGATAAACGTTATTGCCTACATTCTCGCCCGAACTCCTCCGACAACTGCGATACTGTAAATGACGAAGATTGAGAGCGATTCCCTCAGAACATTTCGCAAATGGAACGAAGGAGAAATAAGGGGAAATAAATAGGCTGTGCTTGCGGACTACTGTTGGATAGTGACAAGAGAAGACAGAAGAGAAAAACAAGCGACGAGCAAAAAGATCTTCACGTAAGTCCTTTTATTTGAGGACAGTGACGCTATGTATGAAACCATACTTAGACGTCCTGTTCTAAAGCCCGGCTTTCCAATACGAACATTGGCCGACCAGCGGTAGCCCAGCCTCTTGGCCATGGGATAAGGGGTTCGTGCGGTTAGTTCGAAGACATCCCTTCACCGTATATTCTGATCGTCATAACCTTAGGGTAGGCTTTCTCGTCGACACCCAGCAAGAGATACTGGGACATTTGTAACGAAAGCGCACAGTTATAATTTTGCACCGGTCTCGAATCGAACCCGAGGTTGCGCCGTGGAAAGCGAGCAATGAACTACCGAAGGCACATACTCATACTAAACAATATCTTATGACATATTCATTATTCTTGACCTCAAATTAGGGTAGTTTGGCTATTTTCAGAATATAAAGAATTCGGAAGTATATTTTTAGTTTTTCTATTTGAAAAGTGTTTTGGAAAAAGTAGAACTAACAGAAAAAATGTCATATTCCTTGTTCTCGACCGCAAATTACTGTACTTTTGCGCTTTTGAGGAAGCAAATAATTACAAAGTGCATTTTTGATGCACAGTATAAGTAACGTGGATATACGTCGTGGCATTCTGATATTTTTCCTTGCCCAAATTCTTATAAATTCCGTATATATAATGCTGTAGTGTAGGGAGAAATTATATATTTGGCCTAATATATTACGTTTGATTATTGTTTTCTAGATCAAGGAAAATGCACCATATTAAGACGGGATATTAGTTTTACATTTCGGTCAAAGGAGAAAAGCGCGGGCGTTTTAAAGAAAGAATAGCGTGGTCTGTGGCCCTTAATTTCTGTGGCGGTGTCCCAATTGAGTTCATTTCATTCTGTATATGTAGATCCTTTACCGTACCATATACAATTATGAAATTATAATAGTTTGAGGGTGGACGTTATTGCGTGCTACATCTATTTTTTTGCAATAATCACTCCACAAAGAGAAGTGTCTGGGAAAAAATTTGCTCATTTTTGTAGTTATGGCAGACGTGAAATTAACATTTCGTATTTTTAAATGTATGTATATTTTAACATGTTTACGTGCTTACACAAAAGAATTTCTGAGCATATTACTTCTACAAATAACTGTTTTTACTGTTCGCTCCAGAGATAGTGCCCAATTAGAACGTTGGGGGACGCGAGTTGTAATATTATGAGAGAATCGCCTTCATTTCCGGTGATTAATACCAGCAGTGAATTTAAGGATCAGCCGCGTATGAGCTTCATATCCACTTCTGCTCCAAACGGAACAAAAAACGCGTGCCTCGATTACTCCCTCGAAATTAAAGCTAATGATGAAAAACATCTAACATTCTGTTTCAATTAATGCGTACCTCGATCAGCTACAATGGGCCATGGAGAATTTTCATTAAGTTTAATTGGAAAATGTATTCCGTTTTAATTTGCACTTGCGTCAGAAGGGCCACTGGAGACGCGAAATGCAAACGGCTGCTCAACCGAAGGCAATGGGGCTATGTTCAAAGTTTTACCCTTAAATTAGGTTTATCACCTTTCGTAGTAAATTGAGGTCAGAAGGGGGAATCTCTTTAGTTTTCTAAGAGTATTGTATAAGACAGCGATTTTCATATTTTGATACTTTCGTAACGATTTGTAAGAATGCAGTCTTCGGCAATGGTGTAGCGTATCGGACTGTTATACCCAAGTTGGCGGGCTAAAACCCGATCGACGCGAAAAAAATCCTGCGAAGGGCGAAAAAAATCCTTCGTACGCCTTCATTCGAAGGGGAAGTAAAGCCGGCTGTCCCATGTTAGTAGATTTACTTGCATGTAAAAGATCCTCAAGCCTAAATGACGCCTCTGAGTTAAATTCTAATCGCCTGTTTCGTCGACCAAGAAATACCTCCTTTCTCTGCTAGTTAATGAAAGGAGCGTAGCGAAATTTGCGTGGTCAGGCGGAAGAGCGGGCCTGATAGCCTTAGTCTCGCCACGTAAAATAAGGCATTAATTCAATTCAAAATCATATCTACGAAAGATGCAATTATTTTTGCGGATACGGTATAAACTACCTAACACTTTTACAATACAGTGCTCTTGTATTGATGTATAGCATTTTAAACAACTTCAATGCTTATCAAGTGGTGCAGCAATAGATGTACTTTCTCGAATTCTATGTAATGGTTCAGTAATGCCATAATACTTCAACAGAATTTGAGTAATTTTAGAAAATAATAAATGAGTATGACAAAATTCATACGTTTTAATGTGTTATAAAAATTAACGTTTCTTCCCTGTTATTCAATGTAATTAGCTACATTGTATTAAAAAAAAATAAAACAAATTCGCAGAGGGCGTTATACGTCTATGGTGTGTGGACGTGCTGAGTATAGATGCATTACACACCGCAAGAAGAAAAAAGTTTAAAATATGTTTTCGAAGTGACTGCCATGACTCTGCTTAATATTCAAAAATATGAATACAAACAAAAAGGAATAAGATATTGTAGAAGAAGACGAAGCCTATAAAACTGATAAGAAATCTTTGCCAAAGAAGCCGTTGAAGGACGGGAAGAATATGATGAACAAGACCGCAAATATGGATGAGGCAGCAATAAGAAACATGAGAAAACAAGGAAGTGGTACATCAACTGATGTCACTGCAATGCCTCTGACCGGGACGTCCTAGATTCTAGATAGTGGCAAGATAGTGACAAGCCGCTGACTTGTCAGCTAGGTCGAATTCAGTCACTGGCAGGAGGAGAATTAAAGCGGCCGGCACCGCTTATCGGTAGTTTTCCGTGGTGCCTCCTATCGACACCAGGCGAATGCCAGAGTATTACCCTAACAAACGGGCTACGGACCGCGCGCTGTCTTCCCTTCCTCTTGCTACTATTATCCTCACCCCTTTCACACACACACACACACACTAAAATGCACTACATTTACGGTACTAACGACCTCGGTAGTTGAATTAATAGCAACAAAGAAAGAAACAGATTCAGGCGAGACGCTAGAGCCTTGGCAGTTCTGTTCCTACAGCTGCGCGGGGACGAGAGCCCAAAGGAGGTGGCATAAGAGGCGAGGGGCGGGGGTGTAGTGGGGTGCAGACGGCGCGGCGCTGATGAGCGGAGGCCGAAGACGCGGAGCGCGACGGAGAGAGAGAGAAGCTGCTTCGCCGCCCAAAGGGGAAACGCGAGACGCCATCGACGGCGGCGGAGGGGGAGCTGACGCAGCGCCCGAACAAATCATTTTCGTGCGATGCCAAATATTTGCTACACGAGATGCCGCGTGCCGCGTTATTGGATTGTTCCCGCGCGGCGGGGGGGGGCGGGGAGGGGCGAGGCGCCGTGCCGCTTCTTTGACCGACAGGAGCCGGCGCGGGTGCGATGGCGGGGGGACTTGGACGACTGGCGTAGCTCAGGGCATCGATTCATGTCGTTGTAGTGTCTCTGACCGGAAGGTCCTGGATTCGGGTTCCGACGCTCGCAGGATATTTAATACCAACTAGATAGCTGGCAGGGGAATTCTAGCGGCCGGCTGCTGTGATCGGTAGTTTTCCGTCGTTTCTACCATCAACACCGGGTAAATACCGATGCAGTACGCTGACAAACAGGCCACGGACCGCACGCGATTTTTCCTTCCTAATCGGTGTCCTATTATCACTTATTCACAAACTAATACTCACGTGCACCAGTCGATCTCACATCCGGTCAGGAGTTTAGAGCGTTTCCTGGCGGGGGCGATGCGCTGATGAAAGAGATACCTGGTTGGGGAAAATCCTCGCAAGCTGACGTAGGTCGGAGCCAGATCTCGCCATCCGGCGGGGAAAGATCACCTCATGCGATAAAACTGCACTACACTTACGGGGCTAATGTTAGTGGTTTCCGCGGCGGAATGATTAATCATTTAGTCAATCAACCGTAGCGTGAATATTCAGAATTGAAGCTCCTTAGTAATCTGCATTATGTACTATTTTGAACGTTTTGAATCTCTCCCTTTTAACAGTCAAATTTAGAAGTCATTCGCGATTGGTGGCTTTTGGGATCTACAGACACAAGTGAGGCTGGAAGGCGTAACGATTTACTCAAGAATAAATATAATTAAGGGCACATTTTATATATTAGATATATGCTACATTATTTCTTGCGGTCCTTTTCATGGGACAACAATTGCCACATCGGGTTTTGAAGAATTAGTTTGACATGAACTATGTTGCTCTGATTCACTAGCGTTCGTAACGTCGCACAGTGGAAAAAATGATTGAAAATCT